TGTCTTCAGGGAGCACCTTTTGAAGGCTTGACAGCACATGTACACCCCTAAAAATGATGCTGTGGCACGTTTGTAAAGATGACACAACTTCAAGGTTGTACACATTCCGACGAAAGTCTAGGGTATGACCATGCACCCCACGAACTAATGCATGCAATTGGCGTGTACTCTGCAGACAGTGGAGTTCTTGTGAACTATTGCAGAAGTCGACCAATGTTTCCAGCACTGAACACATACACCATTTAATTACTTGGTGCTCCTATATTTGTAAACCAGCTGAATTAGAGACTAACACTTCTTATTTTCTGCCCTTATTAGTATCTTACTAATGTTAAATGTTAGTGTTGTGATTATCACTGTTTAGCCTTACCCTCCAGGCAGGCAAAGAGCGACATGTCCCATCTCGATGTCACCCAGCTGAAACTAATGGCAAGTGGTGTCACTTTATGCTTCTTTTTATTATTTTTGTACAACATGTGATTGGTTGTCGTTGGTAACATGCCATTAATTCTACTAGTAAAGTTAATGCTGAATTGTTAGTTCAGCCAATCAGACTGCCCACCTCTGATAACAAGCTATGCTTTCACAGATATGACCCAGTTTGAAACCCGGTCGAAATGTGTTATGGTATTACCCGATGGAGACCGCATTGCATTGAGCTGCTGTCCTTAAATAAAAAGGGGTAAATCATTTGCTGCTGATATACTTTAGCACTAAAAATGTGGGCAGCAATTTTCTACAATAATCTTTCAGAATTTACCTTCTCCAGTAAGAACGATCAGGAGGAAAGGAAAAGTCCAGAAAAACGGTGTGTGTTCAGTTACAAAATGATTTATTTCGGCACAGTATTCAACAAATAATGAGTTTTTCAAATTCGTGCAGTTGAAAAAAGATTTCATTCGTTTTCTGACAGCCTTTCTAATTTATTACATCTTATCTATGATAACATCTCAGTGGGAGTGATTCCGATATGTTTTGTCTGAATGATTTAAACCATAGCCCTAAAGAGTCATTGGCAACGAATTTTCAACAGATATCCTAAAAGTGGGGTTTTACAAATCCACTCTTCTTGACTTGTGCGATTTCTGAAGCAAATTAACGGATTTTCGTCCCAGTTTGTTACAAGTTTCAACTCTTTTGGACTCATTTAATATGCATTTGTCACTTGCTACATGTGTGATGACTTAGGCCCAGACAGGAGCCTATCAGACCTCAGCGTCAACTGCGTAATTGTTCTGGTCATAATGACGAAGTTGTGACTGTAAAAACTCTCCTACGACGCAGCAGCGTAAGCTAACATTTTGCACAAAATATAAAAAGTAAAAAGGATATATTCGTTGTTTTTCTGCGAACAGAGGCGTCCTCATAGCGGTAAGGTTTCTCCAATGCCAATCAAAGACGTGGATGAACTTGAGATCATCTAACAGCCATTGCAAGAGATTCATCTGAACTGCTTTTGCAAACATCCAGCATCAGAGACAAGCCGGAATTAAAAAAAAAACTGGCTTGTCTTATTTTTGACAAGTGCCTACAACAAGAAATAAATATCGTGAATAATTATCGAATCTTGTTACATATGAACTTGTGATGTTCTGCTCATGGTTCCCCCTCTCAGAAAATAAGTTTCTGTCTAAAATTTGAAAATGTATGGCTGGCAAAGTTATGCCTTACTCTAAAGTATATTATTACACATCTTATGTCAGTAAAGTTTAACTGTTTTAAAACAGTGCATTGATATCCTGAAGGATCGTTCTTTTCTTATTTTTGGCTTAAAATGTATGGTGAACAACTAAAATTCAAATTTATACTTAAACGCTACTCTTCAAAGGGGTTCCGATAACATATTACACAGAATTTAATGCAGTTGCTGTTGTTGAGTAAGTCTTATGGTGTTTTGAAAACTGGCCTTATGTACGCGCATTTACTCTTGTAATCCATGTGCAAGTAGAGAATTGTGTAGAGCTTGTAAATATCCTGCACTTGGATCAAACTCTTAAGTTCATCAGTTCTCTGTAGTTTGCTAGTTATCCATGGAGCACCCAGAATTTGTCGTGGGGGTGGGCTTGAACCGAAATTCCCCCCCCCCCCCAAAAAAAATAGCTCACGATGCTGAAGTCCCATCACTTGGTTGCAGCACAGGGGACTCAGATGTAAGACAGTATCATAGCTAGTAATTAAACATGTTTACGATGTACATGTACTTAATTTTTCACTTCACAAAGTAAAAAATTATTCAAGTGGGGGAGGGGAATCAAGCCCACAGAGAACCCCCTTAATTTCCTTTGGTTCGCCACTGCTAGTCACTGCAACTGACTCTCGTAAAAACTTCATCAAAATTGCCACATCAAGACGTAGAGTAAGATGGTACTAGAAGAAATTCCATGTGTGCTGTGTTTTGAGTGATGCTTAAATGAAAATTAATGCATGCAAGTATACCGAACAGTGCCAGCAACGAATTGAGGAATGTTTTTGCAAATATCGTAAAATACACTAAGATTTCATTTTTCTTCAAAGCGCATTATTTCCCATACTTTGACAGCGATGTAGGATGTAGTGTTGTAACATTATGTGGCACCTGACGAGGCAAATGCAATCGCGACCCCGTGGTTGTTTGAACATTATATGCCACCTCACTGGAGTGAATAATTGTTTTGTTACGTACTCTGTATTGAATTATTTGCAATACTGTAGTCACTTGAACGATTTGAATTTAATCAAAACGAGGAGTGTCGCGATCGGTCCACTGCTGCATAGTACGGGCACGGGTGTATCGTTTAATTGTTCTCTGGGTCGCTCGTGTCTTGCCTAAATTTAGCTCAAACACCATTGTAAAGGAGTTCATCATACGTTATGTTCATGGACTTCTGAGAAGAAACCAACTGCTTTTGGCAAACAGTAAGGCTCCATCATCTGACCAAATCGTATGCCATTTCGTTTCTCCCACTAAAAGTTCACAATAATAAGCCGTACAGAGAAAGTAGCAGTGGTACCAGTGGTCTGGTTACCGGTCCCTGCTCTGTGGCTTTGAGTGTGGGTGGGCATGACTCCATGAAATCACATCATTAATGTATGATTTCCAGCGTGGTGTATTATGCATTTTCATTGCCCGGTCGAGAAGCAAGTAGCTCATCATCATATTATTAAATACGGGAGTTTTACAATCATGATGCGCCTCCAAGAGTTCGCAACGCGTTGACCAATCACAATGCGCGAAAGCTGTCGACCCAATGGGCGTTTGGCAAGGGTAGACAGATTCCCGCGCGTTGGGTGATTGGCAATGCGCTGCAAACTCTTGGAGGCGCACAACTGTGAATCACCCGTTTTGCAATTAAGGATTTCATGTAAGTTTGACGAAATCCTCAATGGAGCAGATCTTTATTCGCCCGGTTCTTTTAGGGTTAGTTAAAACAAAAATCAAAAATTGGCGGAAATTTCTTGTCACATGTGGGGGCAGATTTCTGAAAAATCATCCTTGGGTGGAGCGTGACACGGCACAGAGTCGAAGGTCAGACTTCAATTAGGGGAAGATAAGGGTGTGCACGTCAGTGAGTTAAAAATTGGAGGGAAGATGATTATATTCGTAATATGGGGGATATTACGAATATAATCATCTTCCCTCCAATTTTTAACTTTTTAACTTCAAAAAGAAGGGGAATATATATCCCCTCTCCCCCATCCCCCGGGATTTCCTCCCTGTGAATAACTTATCTTTTTGTCTTGAGGGCATACCTAACCGCCAGGACAAAATACAAGAGCTTGGTATCGACTTCTCCGACAATACATTTTAGGAAGTTTTTTTTGTTCAAATTTACACCCAAGTTATTGTTCGTATTTTGTACTGAAAGTTGTGTGCCTCTATGTGTTTTGGAATCAAGGTTTTGTGCGAAGTTACTTTTTAAAAAGCTGCCCAAGTCTATCTCAGATAAAGTAACCCACATCGATAAAAGATGTCTCTTTCCTTCGTAATCCCTCAAAAGAAAGAATGTGTGACACGGTGACGGTCAGTCTTGGTCAGTGGTGCACTCTTATCAGGATGTGACGAGTAATTAAAATACATGACGTAATGCGTAACAGAATATACTCACATTAATTTAAGATTGTGGGTACACGACAGCGATAACAGATTTCATGAATAGAGTTCGTGTTTACTAAATTTTCTTCTCTTGGAAAATGACCCTCCCTTGGTCATCTATACCCGCTTCTCCCAAATTGCATTTCCAGGTATGATGTTGCAGTAACGTATGCTCCAGTATTCAGTTGTGACGTGCTACTTGTCTTTATTCAGTACCGTGACATAATTTGAATAAACTTGCATTATTTCATAAGGGGCAGGTAAGCGATATGTCATTATTGCGTTGGCTCACACCCATTTGTTCTTCAATGTAAACACTCATGCCTTAAGCTTTGGTTCAGCGGCATGTAAGTACATGGGGCACAGGGGGCACACCGGTACCCCCCCCCACACACACCCAAACACCCTGAATGAAATGTACACAACGTGTGTGCATGTCAAAGCATCATTTCATCCGATTGGCTATCCATTCCTCCTGAAAATAGTGTGTACACCCCTGGGTGCAGCCCTAGAAATCTCACCCTAGTTAAAGCCACTCTTTTACTGAGTGACATTAAACGCAGGTGTAGGTGTGTACAGGTGTAGATGGGGGGGGGCTAGACCATTTTTACATGACGTCACCTTTTAACTTTCACTTCTGCTCTTTCACTTTGAGAGTCGGAAAGAACTCACGTAGTGTAGAGCCCGATTTTCAAGTATTTGGCACACAATAGTGGCCAATGTAATAGCCTAGATCTTGGCGAATCAGAAATGGGAATGCAACACTTCCCAGCCTTGGGGGAGGGGGGCTAAATCCCTCCTTCCTAAACTCCCTTTGAACCGCGCCTGCGTACAACGTTTGCGCAAAGACTATCACTGCCGTGTTGGTTTGCAATAGTCCGGTCAGCGAATTATCACACATGCAAAAACCAAACGGGTAACAACTTCGTAAAACTTTGAACTTGTCATATATTTCAGAACTTGCAAAGCGTGCTCTAAAAAGTGCCTGAGGTTCCATTGAAGTGTCGTTATATGCATAATCAAAATGAAATAAATTCCACATTAAATTATGTACATGTCCACGCAGAGTGAAAATATTCTTCATAAACAACACAATATTTTAAAATGTGTTTTTCTTACAGTATTTAAATAAACTTTTTTCAAAATTCCTTAGCAATATACCGAGCCTGAGGGATTATTTTTGCTTAAGTTTGTATTTCAACAATAATTTATAGAATGTCCCTATTATATAACATCCCTGCTACTTCAAAATCCATGAGGAACATGCCAAGTCCACAGGATCAAAAATGATCAGTTAGTTTACTTCAATGATAATATTTTGGCAGCAGTAACTTCAAAGTTGTTCCATCTTGGATTTAATCATGTCCTGTATGGTTACGTTGTTGCCGATGTATATCGTCTGTTGGCCCTGCGCAATCACGTCACCCTTGGCGTTGAAGAGGTCGGCCTTGGTGAAAGCGAGGGTCTTGCCCGCTTTGACGAGTTCGGCTTCCATGGCTACTTTCTCGCCGACTTTGGCAGACTGCAAGAAACTGACAACACAAAAGAACCGGCATCACGATCGCAACCTTATCCTCCCGCTGATAAATGGTTGTAGGGTTATTATGAACAAGGGCAGATATGGAGAAAGGGTTGGCTTACGGGGCCTAACCCCCCCACCCGCCATTTTCTTCTTGTTTTTCTCTCTGAAAAACCGATGAAAGGCAATTTGGGGGCCATTTCATATCCTTTTTCCCCCCAAAGCCCTGATAGTGAAACATAGTCACTCAAAAAGGCTAAGAAAGCCTTTACATATACATGGAAAAGTTAAAAATAATATGGCCCTCCCGACAATTTCGGCTGCCCAAAGAATTGGTTCTGGATCCGGCCTTGCTAATGAAACTCGCTTCCGCTTTTGAAAAAAATTGTTTACCTTCGTGGATCTGGAAATATACAAGCACTGGCTACAGTGTGCAGATCTGTTTACTCTACCACGTAGTGCATTTTATCTTGAAGTATATCAGCTCAAAACACGAGAAAATGGCCAACCATTATGTGATAGTGTAAGATAGAAATGATGTTGTTTTTCTTGTTTATTTTTCTCAGGTGAGAACCATTTTCAGTAATAAGCTAAAAGCCAATATCAACTACAACTCTTGATCTTCGAGCCCCTTTGTTTCACACTGATCAGGATCTCGATCAGTGATCCCAACGCTGGTTCCCTCCACCCATCAGGCTGGTTTTGGTGTTTTGGTGAACCTACTCTGGTCACTGATCGCAATTCGGATCCGCGTGAAACAAATAGGCCCGGTATGTACTGACAAGATACCACATCAACATTGAGGGCTTAAGTCACCAGGCACCATCTCAGGAGGGTCATTATTAATTCACGTGCTTGACTGTTACATAATCTGTGGTATATTATATGGAGAGCTCAGTCACGATTGGTGGTGTATCATGAATGCTACAGGCTACTTCTTATGGAGTAGGTTTCATATTCAGCCTTTTAATAAAGTTTCTGTAACTTTAACTGATTAGTTATTAGTTGGCACTTGGTATTGTTCACACATTTTGAAAAACTTCCAACAGGCAAGCGGCACTGAATGTGGAGACCTATTCCCTTTTGTTTGTGCATGCAGCAATTCACGGTGTAGGTTTCAGGGTTCAGGAGTGCCACGAGTATTTGAGTGAAGTAGCATGGGGCTCACCTACAGGGCAAGCATGGAGCTATTTTTTTTGGGGGGGGGCAAAATTTGAGGTTTTTCTTCATGTTACATTTTATGGGTTTCGCTAGATGCATAGCTACATGGGGGGGGGTGTTATGCTTTGTGGAGAATGGCAATGAAAATAAGTCCCCCAAATCTCTCATGGTACTGAAAGAACAGCCGCCTGTTATTGAGGGATATCCCCCAAGTCCCACATAATCCCCACAAAACATCAAGTGGGTTTTCAAAGATCTGGGAGTTGTTAATGGCACTTTATCTGTTGGGTAGCCACTGCTAAACTTAGCATTTACTTCATATTGGCTCGTACGCTGACGCCCATCTGTCCCGAGGTTCCCGTAACAACGGTGAAAAATGTCATATAGTCCAGCAACGACATTGTGAATCCCCCATGCAGCGTCCCCTGTCCATTGGTGTGTTCCTCTTCCACGGTCATCTCGCAGCGACATCTCCCCGGACTGACTGCGACCATGTTGATCTGAAAGCGAAAAACAACAAAACAAAATCCCCCAAAAGACAAGACTGGATTAATCGTTTTTGTAAGCCTCATACTACCCCCAGAACTATGGGGTCCGACATCCGCCCTGCTCCCACCCTTTGGGGTTCATGGGAGTGGGGCGGGCGTCAGACCCCACAGTTTTGGGGGTAAGCCCCAGACACCAGTTTTCCATGCGGCCTATGGGGCGTCGCAGACATCCGGGAGTTTCACAAAAATACGGGTAGCAACCACACCGTGCTGGTGAAAACAACTGCAACGAGCGCGCGCGTACATACTGATTAAAGAAAAGATTGTATAACCCGATCCTCGGACTGGCTGGTGTGTGCGTACGTCACCACGGTCACTGTTTTCACCAGTGCAGCACCTGTCATTTTGTGAGAATCCAGGTTGTCTGCGCTGCCCCATATTCTGCTCTGGGCTGGGTAGCTACATGTACACCATCACAAATTTCAGGGCTCTGGTAATAAAGCAATAAGTTTTAGGTAAATGAGCCCCTGTCCACATCTAACCAGCAGTCCCCATCTTATTCAAGCCATACTAGTACTAGGCCTTAATCTAATTCTTAGGAAACAAAATCCTAACACAAAATAAGGCCTTGCACTAAGGCCTAATTACAGTAACAAATAACTGAAGCTTTCCAAAAGTACTGCTTACTTGACAAGGCCTATCATCTGCACAGTCTGCAAACCATAAACTTTGATAAAGCAACTGGGATTGTGTGTTCGGGAACACTGTTCCTAGTCTAATGGAGAAGTAGGCCCAATTCAACACGGGCCCGGGGAAAATGACGGAAATCAGTAACAAGGTGTTTTGTTGCACTGAAAAAGGCAGTGTCCCCATAATGTGCTCGAATGGCTTTTAAACTCCCCTCACCTTGTTGAAAACCCGGTCAAAATTCTTCCCCGACGGCAGCATTTTCCAGATTTGTTTGAAGGCTGAAATAGACATGGAGGCTGCCATTTTATGTATCTCTCGAATCGCGCTCAACAGAGGGCGGCATTTACAGAACCTTTATTGAATTTGGTTCGATGGATCGAGTGCAGGGTCCTAGTTGTATCCTATGTTGATAGCGGGAAGGCGCTGTCCTCGTGGTCACATAAAAAAGAGCACGACGCCATATTAACGTTTTCAAAGTTGTAAAAGAAGTGGAAGGCAATAAGCAAAACAATTCCAAAAAACTGAGAAACTTTTTTCCCAATCGTGATGCATGTTTGGGAAATCTGCAAAGAGAAAAGTAGGGCCATATAGCCGCCAACATTCGAACACATAACTTTGGTGTCCTTGCCAGAAAATGAACGAAATAAATAGGGTTTGGAATATTTCGGTCAGTTTCGGATATTTAGGGTAAATTAAGAGGAATTTTACAACCTTGGACGATTTTCTGATTACTGCAATAATTTTTGTGAGCCACAGCAGATGACATACAGGAATATGAGCCTACACAATTTTTTCCGAACTTCTCTTTTCGTGCTGAAAGATTATGTGAAACGCAACTGCGCAAGACGACGACAGTTGAAAGATACAAACGCCAGATGCCGACACTCTCGATGATACCTTTTGCCAAATTCGTATTTCACCATAGCACTAACAGAAATTATATTCTTAGAAAGACCCTACAATCAAATACCACAATCACTATGAAAGTTATTCAACTGTCTTAATTATTATTGTATTTACTTAATGGTCAGGACTGACTGAGGTAAATTGGGCATTTTTTCTGACAAAGTAAAACTGTCCTCTTTTCTCCTGGTAAAAGAACCCCATCCCTAAGAAAGCCACATGTCCCCCCCACGCACACACACGTCCCACTAGATTCAACGCCGTCAGTCGGTCGGTACCATTCAGTCTGATGTTTGGTTGGTCCATTGGTCTCCAGGACAAAACATTCATTTCTACCAGGCTTTACCCCACGGACACACCCCACGAGCAAAACATGCCGGCTGGTTCTTATTAAAGTATCCAATTTTCAGCTGGACTGAAAATTCTACAAAAATTTTAAGTGGAGAATATGAACAAACGTGGAACATGTGTTCTAATTCGGCTTTATTTCAGTGGGAACTTCACCTCAAATCAAATGCACAGTGATTCAAGAGCGCTAATTTTCAACTTGTCTATCCAAAACTTAGACAATCTCGGCGATTTAATATTGGTTAAGGGACACGTTTAAATTAATCGTGACTGCCGTTTGTGCGCACTCCCACCTTTTCTTCTGCAATCAAGTTCAAGTTTCCACTGAGCATGCGCGCATTGTTTTTGGTGTTCAGCGCGGAATACATGTGCAATGTCTTCCTTCGTTTCGAAGCAGTATTGTTAATCTGGATTTGGAGTTGTATCCACTATAGACACACACTCTAGAGTCCATGACCGGGAAAGGGACAGGGACGATTGGGTGATGCTGACTGTTTGCCGACAGTTTGTATCTGTTTGCGATACTGACCAGCTTTTACGGTACGTCATAGCAACTCAAATGCTGTTGGTGTGAACATTATACCAAGTTTAATCTTACAGAATAATAATTTTTAGGTATTACCAACAATTCTGACCATCTAACACGACCCCTGCCTGGCAAACAGACATCATGAACTATGAAAGTTCAGCTCAACCAATATTTGTAGAATTCAATTACCTGTAAACATGCAAATCATCGATCTCTTCAAGATGAATACATCTAGAGGTGTGGGGACAGGCTCAATCATACCAAGGAATGACAGGTGTACATTACGCTCGGTTTATGTTAATGAACTGAGCCTTTAAGCTCAACTCCCCTGCCCTGCCCTTTACCAATTAAAGGTACAGGTGTATTTTCTCGTTTTTTTCTGACAGTGAATCAACTTTCCTGGGAGCATGTGCCCTTAGAACTGCATATCACAACCTTAGAGAAAATCCTAAAAATGGAGGCAGAGGACGAGCTTAGCTTCAACATCATCCCAAAATGGCAGCTAAATGGATAGCCTCATTTCTGAAAGTGAATTCACCACATTAGCAATTTGCAGCGTTCTTCTTGTTCTTCTTTCACAATACTGTGGTATAGCATTTGGGGATATCATAAACTGACCATTATTGAGGTAGTATCACTAGGACTCTTTCTTCAGAGAGCCAACACAGCCGGCTATCTTCAGACGCCAACAGCGACTGCTTCTCACCAATACGCAAACCAATCCTGCTCGAATGACCCTGGCAGGACTATTTGGCAAGATTCCAACTCAAATCACTTGCAGTTTGCCGTTGGTGTCACCCCTTGTTGCATTCATCATAGTCTCTGCCAGCTCAAACAATTATTTTCATGCAATTAACCCTTTATTTTAGAAAGTAGTCATTTGAAACTGGCGATACTAGTTCCACTATAGTGAACTCTACTCGCCATTCCAACTTGCCCCAAGTCCTTCACAGGGCTAGAGTATCCAAATGACAGGTGTTCACATAGCTTTAAACAGGAGAAACCTAATGTAGAATATTTCAGTAAACACTATCAGTCCAACTCGATGCGGTCTTCAGGGGTGTCCTTCCTGCCAACGTGTTTGACGTGATTCCCTACAGCAATGATGTCACCTTTGGAGTTGTAGAGGTTGGCTTTGGTGAAGGCCAAACTCTTGCCGGCTTTGATCACTTCGGCGTCCATAGTTAGCTGGTCCCCAATCCTGGCAGCTTGCATAAAACTGTAAAGTTAAGGCAAACAATGACATATTAAGCTAAAAGGCTCAATATCATTGACAAGTCTGCCGTACAGTTAGGCCAAGTTGATAGCAGGGCCCAATTTAAGACTTGCTTTACAAGAATTCGGGATGTGCTGATTAATTGAACATTCGGATATTTGATGAATTACTGCAATATTTGTATGTTGATTTTTGTAACCGAGCAGCCAGAGGAAAAAATGGATCAAATTAAAAAGTCAAAAATTTATTACTTGGCAACAAAACGGTGTTCTAAAACCAGTTTTGGCTGGTCGCCAACATTTGCTAAGCAAATATTTTCTGCGCTTAATACATTTCTGTGCTTGGAGGGTCAATGAATTCAAAGTTTCACTGAGGATCCAAACATATGCCTAATCTTTACTGCCAGTCCACTCCTGGTCAAATGTTTGAGAATGATATTGATGGGAGCTATCAGTATCTTGGTCCAATGTTTTCCATCGTATTCAATACTTCGGATGGGAAATATGAAGATTTATTAACCAGTGTTAAAAAATTGTGAAATAACTAGCTGGAGGGGGTGCACATCTTGCACAGGCTAAAACTACTTTTTAATCATTTTAACATATCCTTGTGACAGGTGGGCAGGTGGCTATGACACTGCACACTCGGACAGGTTCAAAGCAGTAACGCTTCTTTCAAAGGAATCCTTTCTGTCCGTGGAAGTCTACATACTACCATTTCTACGGGTTCACAGGCTGCATACTTATGCAAATGTTAATAAATAAAACTGAGATCTTGTCAAAGGCTGAAGAGGGAGTGGCTTTTACTGCAGCCTACAAGGTTGCTCAGAATTTTGTTAGGGTTTGTTCTGGTCCGGGGTTTTTTTGGTTGCCATTGTTTATACAGGTACATGTAATAATGTAAGGTAGCCACTCAGAAAACTTCGCACATGAATATGTTTACTGAGCCACACTTTGGGTACACGAATTGTCTTAGCCCAAGTAAAACTGCGTGCAAATTTGAAATAGGGTCAATAATTGTCAGAAGATGGCACACAGGAAATGCTTGTCACAGTGCATATATGTTTTGGTTCATGATTTCAAGTCTTAAAAGACTTACCTGACACTGAGCTCCACGCTGACCCCTGGTACCCCGGCAGGAGAGGACAGGACAGCGACAGTAGTCAGCGTGTCGACCAACGTGGAAACAAAGCCCCCGTGCAGTGAGCCGCGCCGATTGGCTTGCTCTTCTCCGACGGTCAGTTCACAGCTGCACTTGCCTGGACTTGCTGATGTTATATTAACCTCAAAAAAGAGAATATATTCATTTTGAATGAGAGTGGGCTCAGCATCCAAATGGACAGATGTACATATATGTAGGCCTAAATAGACCAAACTCGGAAATCATTCAGAAAAGCAGATAATCCACACAAGCATGCCCTGCCCATGGTCACTTCCTTCCCCTTGCCTTGCTATCAGTGCTGTGGCCGAGTACTTTTCAGGTACAAAGTTCAAGGGTCAGGTTGGAACAGAGTTAGAAAACATGGACCGAGCTAAATAGGACGACAAAATAAACATAAGACTTTAGACTCTCAGTTGTATAAAAAAGGTTTTCGGAATAAAAACACTCTGGAAGTCCTTAGCTTAGGAGAATTGTATCAGACCCTTTTGAATTTTATACGCACACTGTGATGCAAACTTTGTAATATTAAACCCTGGAATGGGTCCTACTGTATGGATAATATGCCCTTCAAGGTGTTCCAAACTGCACGATTTTTCAGGAAACTGACTTTTAAAACAGCAAAAATTACAAGATTTTGAAAGAGAGTTTATATATCGCGGGATTCATGCGAGTCACACAACCCACAAATCCCATTCCGTGCTCCACCGTGTCCGGATTACCTTTATAACCAGCTATCCACTCCAGTCTAGCACACTCTCCTGAGGACGGCCAGAGCACACTGGCCGAAACGTCAAGTTAACACTCACCGGTTCTCACTCCCGATCCATCCTTAGCCACACATCTAAACTGTTGTCAAAGTTTTGGAAGAGCCCATTGGTACATGTAGTATCTTATCGCTCAGTCCGTTTATTACATATGTCTTGACATGGAACAGCCGTCGAGACGATGAGGGGGTCAAGTGACGTAATGTTCAACGACCTTATTTTAAAGATGGCGACTGAGAGAGCGAGCCGGTTAGATTGAATGGATAAAGGCAAAAAGACTGGAAAATACCTGAATAACATGAGTGAAACCATTCATTAAATGGTTTTTAGAAAGCGGAATGGTCAACGTTCAAGGATCATGTTTGTGTGCAAAAGAAATTGCACCCACGATGATAAGTGGGTGCATCGAAAATGTTCAGTACGCCGACATGAAACTGCGTATACGGATGTGTGGCTAAGGATGGATCGGGAGTGAGAGTCCGTGCCACACTCACTAGTGGGGCTAGATATGCATGGAGACGTATGGATCTTACTTAGGCTACCCGTTTTGCAAGATTAAAATGACAAAAATACAGGGGGTCCCAAAGTATACAATCCCCAACTTCATTATCATGTACGTTATAATAGTTGCTCTTACTTTATTGAGGACGCCTTCAAAGCGTTTCCCAGACACGATTAGTTTCCAGACTTGCCTGGCGGCTTGAGTTGCTGCACCACCGGAGGCCGCCATGATGAAACAAACGAACTATTGAGGGCGCCAATCGAGTGATCAAAAGACAATCGCTCAAGGGTGTAGTCCAATTCAGGCCGAAAACAGTGTAATATCAGCATTGTTCGGGGTCCAATAACATGCCTACTAACATCCCTGAGGCATCTGAAACTCACGTTAAATTTTTGTATGGTTCAGAATCTTGCACTTTCTTTCAATTTTCTGTGGGTTTACCCATCACATTTTGAGTTATTCCCTCAAAACGAAATTACCCCCCAAAAGTGATTTTTCCAAAGTCTGCTTGCAGCCATTTTTCAAGTGACTGTGAACCCGACTTTCTCGGACACTTAACCCTTAACACTTAACAGCCCTCAATCCTTCACCTGTTGGAGGACTGAGGACTGTTATGGTTAAGACCATTTTCAACAGTATTTTTTAGCCATTCTGCTCTCATATGGAAAGCCCAAAGACCCAGGGAGTTGATTCTGGCGAAGATTTACACAATCTCACCATTTTGGGTGCCAGAGAATCTCCTTTTTCAAAAGATACTGTGGGGGGGCACTTTTCGTGCTAATGAGCTGGCCAGAAATTCTCGCTTGAATTACGGTGGACTGCACCCTCAAACGCAAGAAAAAATCACGCGAGAGAAATGAATTACGAAAATCGGTCTTGGCCTATATCTTCTTCAAACATTTTTGTCAGCTTCTAACCCAAGAGATATACATCTGAGGTAATCTATTGGTCTGACATGTGCCCAACACTTTAAACATGTGGACTAAACAGTAATTGCAATCTTCCGTTGGCCTGACACTAGAACAAATTTTGTGCACTGATGAGGCCCGTAGTAGGCCTACACGGGTCCGGTGGCTGCACTGCAACCATGGGCCGCCACCTCAAACTTACGAGAGCGCTCAGTGTGATCGAATATTATATGATTTTTTATGAAGGCTAGCAGCACCAGCAGCCGAAACGTCGCTACCAGCAACACGACACCGCGAGTCATCGATTATCTTTTTTCCTGTATGAACTAGACTGTTGGTGTAACAAACGAAGGCTTCCTTTTTGGAGCGGTGGTTGTGCAAAGGGCTATGACTGCGTTTCATATCTAATTATTGTGCTTGATCAATAACCTTAAGCTGACTTTTAGACGGGCCAACAGCGATAAACAGAAAGCGCTAATCAAATCTAGCTATAATGAATTTTTTTTTTTACAAGATTTTACTCTTCTTCAAAGTATGAAGCCTACCTAACATCCCTATACAGGCATGAGTTGAATGCACTGCAATATGCACCCTTTGAAAACATTGAAAAATATCAATCCTCTCTTGGACAACCGGTGGCGCTGTTACTCAGATGTCTCCCCGGTTCAGTTCGAAGGTATTTCTGTTCAAATTGTAAACTCAGCATTTACTGACTAAAAAACCCGAGGTGTTGCTTGTTTGCTTATTGCCATATACTATTATACGAGCTTGCACGTCATGCAATGAATCAAAAAAGAAAAGAAAATTCTCACTCATATTTTCATGTCGACGGTCTCTTCATTTCATGGAAATGATAAACCTGTCACAACTATAGTCCAACCATCCATCGTTCTAGTGACGCTGGTTGAAATTCAGTTACTAGACAAGTCATACAATGGGGCAAATTCAAGCACTAACTATCCCCGTTGAGCAGAGAGAGCCGTGTTGGTTGGGAGTGTTCATTTTGTTAGTAGCGATGCGACTGCTACGCTTGCGTTTCATAGTGCGCGATGTGCAGTTACGACCAAAGGAGCCTTCGCTGCTAGGAAAATTGCACCCTCTCTTGGTCATAACGCTACGAAGAAAATTATATAAAACTGAAAAACAGGCTGGTCGGCGATCGAAGTAATAAACATGTAGGTTGGGTATAAACAAACAAAATATCCCTTTCAGCTGAGACCAAAGCAAATGACTGACATTATCGCGAAGCTAAAATGTTTGAAAAAGTCACACATCCTTGACAGATGCGCCAAGTGACTGAGTCATGCGCAGCTAGCTCTAGCCATCAATGAAGAATGAGCAGTGCTTTAAACTTTACCAAAAATAATGTACGGTTCTGCAGATGATTCAGTCCAGTCGTACCGTTAGACACAGACCTGACGAGATACGGATATCATCATGCCGGCAATTCCATACAGTATTCATTTTACTGGTGCTATCAAATAAATAAAAATAACGCCCGTTGTGCATAAGGCAGGCAAAAGCTGGCGTCATCAATGCTTCTGTGATGTCATGGAAGCATTGTAAACAGTATCACTTTTATGTCTGAGGATTGTAAGCAATCATGGCAGTCAGGGAATTGATTAGGTCTAGAAACGGCTTTCACACATGTTGATTGTTAATATCCACAATTTTTTAGGCTTCACTTATTTGACTGTCGACGGGTGATATCAGTGCCACACACGTCATGTAACACGCCTCATCAGCGTAGCCCACTGTTTAACAATGCTTCGGTGTTTGTCAGCTAAAAATCACGATCATTAGCCGCTGCTGACCATGGACGCGACGAAGAGGACAACCCTCCATCGATTTTTCGTAAAAGAACGCGCTACTTTACAGGCTTGGCCTCCACTGTCATTCACTGAAAATTAAATTGACTGGTCTTCGATCAAGGGGGGAAAACATCGAAACAAGTCACGTGCACCTCAGTTCTACTCTAATGCAATGCAGACTCGCAATCTTTCTTGCACAGAAAGCACGAAATTTGTCGTCTTTCCCAAAAATAATGCGTGGTTGCAAAACTGTGCTAATAATGAGGGTTTCTGCATTGTGCCTGATGATGAACCTGTTGGCAACAGTCGGGTTCAGTGCCGGTAATACAGAGAGATGTGTGGCATCAATCGGAGGGTTCTGCCCTCCAACTTGGAGCCCGTGGGGTGACAAATGCTACAAAGTCACCAAGAGCCAGACACTGGCCTGGCAGGAGGCGAAGGAAGCTTGTCTCGCCTTGGGAGGAGCTATGGTGGTTCCTTGCTCCGATGAAGAAACCATGTTCCTTGAGACTCTGCAATCGCAAACCTGGATTGGCTGCAACGATCTTCAGACGGAAGGTATAGGAATTCTTGCAACGCTTTGAAAAGCTCCCCTTTATTGGGTTCAACACGTATTTAGGGTGTTAAGGGCTGCATTTCAATGGCGCCAGTTTTGCGAACGCTCGTTTTCTGTTCGTGCATTTCCAATAAATATAATGTTCACAAACCTTGCTTGGCGTATGCCTTAGGTAGAATGTACCCATTGGTCTTATTTCAGTCTTTGCCGGTTCACGCTTCGTGAGAAAGCGAACACGAACGCAAATTTATAAACGTGTATACACCTAATAATGCAGTCGCTTTCATTTCTTTGAAATCGTACAAAAAAATTAGGCCCCTAAATGAAAAAAATGCATCATGTCTCTATTGGGGCTACTTGTCCCCGCCCACCATCCCCGACTCGACACGCCACTGGTTCTCAATATTGCAGGAACACTAAAGCGACTACCAGGACAATACACTTTAGCTGCTATACAGCACACCCGTGACGTTTGGAAAACAAAGTTGTCGCAGTGGTGCAGTTTTTATTGAGGTCAACATTATGTTTTGATGAGTCTGGTACCAAATGTGAAGGACTACATTCTCAATCCAGGGCAGTGAAGGGCAAAATTGCCCCCCCCCCCAAAAAAAAACACTGTTCTTTTTTTCCTATGTGTGGGGCAATCCTCATCCTCATGCACAAGAAAGGTGCAGGTAGTATATGTGTCGTTTACCGTTTTCACGAAGAACCACACATTTTGCAAGTATTTCGATTACAGTCATGTTGCTCGGGGCCAAAATCTCCATGAGCGCATGATGCGTTTTCACGAAGAGACACTGATCGCAGTGCCCCTCGTACACGTACAAAATGCATTGACTGGAAAAGGCCGAAAAGTACGATTTTAGTTTTAATGCAGGAAGAGCCACACACCTTTTACATTTACTATGGAAAATACATTGCACGAAGGGCCAAAAGTAGAAAAACGTGGATTTTCGAATTCACAAGCGGATGCGCACTTTTACTAATAAACTTCGGCTAGTGAATCACTGTTCATTTTGATGATTTGGTACAGACAAAAGTTTACCTCTCAAAGAATCATTTGAGTTTTTTTATTGCATAAACTTCTTCCAAATGGGTATTTTTCAGTTTTGAAATAGCCTTTTCTCGGGCAATTTCTCGAAAGCCAGTTGTTCTTCGAAATGTACGGCTCTTCGTGAAAACAGTGACGATGTTATAACCTCCTCCGCTAAAAACGCCTCTAACTTGGATGTGTGAGCAAGCTATATTTCTAACTGGAAAAAAATAAGTCATTTAGCATAAATAAACGTATCTTAATTTCCACATGGCTCTTGGTCTGGATATATTCCAGGTACGTGGGTGTGTCGTGAGGGTGCAACCTACGTAGCTTACAGAAACTGGGACAAGAGGGAGCCGAACAACGTCAAGGGTTTAGAACACTGCGCCGTTATAAAGAAGTGTGGCCGGTGGACAGATGTGCCGTGCGACGAACAATACCCAGCCGTGTGTACGAGGCCTACACAGCACAAACTTCACATGTAGGCCTAGTTAGGGCAAAGACGACCGCCATAAACATCCTAAAATTTCATGAATTATGATCACAATTACAAAATGAACTCTTCAAAAAAGTTGTGTAGGCCTAAATAGAAAACTAATGCATTTTACGAGTATGAGAATGGTTGTGGTATCAAAGATCGAGTAATTTCATGAGGTGACAGACTGAGCGTTGGCCTAACGGTACTATACACGAAAAACCACGGACGCGGGGCATGAATTCAACAATGTCTCCGTAACGTGTCACCGAATGATTCATCTTAAAACGTGAATGAGAAACATCGTATTGGTTTGTGCAACATCTGGATTAAATGTTTGCATACAAGTCATTTTATCACCCCAGTCCAGAGTAAAATTCCACAATCGTACATCCTGTTAGCATCGGTAGACCTCGACTAGTGAAAGATCTACAACATGTCACGCTTTGTTTGTGTACCCTTCTGTGAAGTTCGATGAATGGCGTCCCACCTCACTGCCGTAGGAAAGCGCACATAACCTCGAAGACGGTAAACAGGAAATTTTGAAAAAAAAACTAGATACTTTTTCTCTTCCAAAAATTAAGGATATACCAAACGCTCGTTGTGAAGAAAAAACCCAAACAAACCCCACAAAACAGAAAGACAGACTCAAGTGGTCCAGTTTAATATTATTTCCAAATGGAATAAGACACTTTTAACTCACTGAAAAAAAGTTCAAATAGCACATTTTTTCAGCGGTTTCGTTAAACAACCTGCAAACTGAGTCCAAATCGCTTGGCACGCATTCATGGCCGTATATCATGATTTGCCTCGAAAAGCACAGGGTGTGAGTAATTATTTACTGGTCTATGGTCTTTATATTGCTGTTATTAGATTGTTACAATTTTAGAAAATATTTTTTGCATTAGAATTGTAATAAGTTATAAAATGACCGATATATACAATTAATGTCTCTGCATCACCAGTATCAACATTTATGGCTATATAAATTAAGCACATCTATAAATATTTGACATAGCTTCCTTCATCCACCAATTTTTGTAACGTTCTGTCAAACATTTTTGATGCAAATACCGTTATTACTGATGAAAATTAAATATAACTAAATATGAGCGTAAATAGGATATTTTGGCAGATATTTATTACTTTTAGGGTATAAGTTTGTTATTCCAAAAATTAAGAAATTCAAACTGATAAGGCTGTAATAACACATTTGTCTCGTTGGTTGTCCAGGGATAAATAGATATAACGTATTCAAAATTTACAAATATTGATATAGGGCTTATGTCTGTCAATTTGATTCCATCCAAAGTACAAAGGTGCAGAGGAATAGGAATTTCGCATAACTATTGCGCGACGGGAAATTGGTATTTTTAATGCATGTATTACGATCAATGACTAGGCAATAATGAGCATAAATACACTGAATTTCTACTCAACTCTATGAATTACAACCAGTCAATTACCAATGATATCCATGGGCAGGCTGCAAGGTGAAAAGAGAAGAGTCCAGATCATGCAAATGACATGGATAATTACATGGCCACAGAGAATCGATATTCACAGAATGGATGGATACCCAAGGTTTGATGGTTCATGCGAATGTCAAAAGAGTCATGAACGAAAGGGCACTCCAAGCACAGAGGAACTGCGACCAAGAATGTGTAAAATGAGTGAACTCAGGTCAATGAAAGAAAATCTGAACAATTCTATTCAAGATAATTGTATTTACACAGAAGGGGTAGTGAAATCTTGACATTTTCCCGTTAGCTATGCACACGTGCAAAACTATGTTTCATGGACTTAAACCAATTAAGTATTACTGCTATAATGACACACGATGGAAACAAGCAAAACAGCAAAACGAGACATGAATTGGACTTTCATGAAGGAGTAAAACCTAGGCAAACACTACATGATGTTGACAGAGTTTGAAAGTATCAACAACAGGGTCTCTGTTCACGAGCTGGATTAAGAATAGTGAGGCGAAGGTTAGACGAAATGTGAAGAGCCAGAAAGAGCACAGCAGACGTTAACAGATTTAGGAACAGACTTGGGGGGGGATTAAAGACGCATTCGTGCCGTCATCAGGTCAGGGTTCCACTTCGTGGAAAGAACGGCCAATGACTCTCCAGTCTGCAAACTCCACGCATGAAAAAGATAGTAATGGTTAGTCACACACTATGACCTGCTCCTCTAAAACTGGCTTTCTTTTTTGGCACGCCCGAAGAGGAACGAGTTCCTTTTTTTGCGGAAGCGTTTTTTGCTCCAATATCTCATTTAGCTTCCGAACATCAAAAGGAACGAGTTGGAGGAAAATAAACAAGGGATTCTACAGACGTGTAAATATGTTTCACATATTAACTTCACTTCCGGACTGGCGTTTGCAAAGGCATTTTGTGAGAGTCGGGTCAGAGTAAAAACGAGGTTGAAAGCTCAGCTATGGAAGAGAAAGACGTGTTTCCGTCGGAAGAGGTTCGTTATGAAGGAAGAACTAAGGAAGTGATGGACAACTTGCAGCCTAGTTAGGAAAAGGAAACTCAGAAATTTGCAGTTGCATATCCAAGTACAAACTATGCCACGAATACATGGAACCCACTTCTTCCAAGCTCCTCGTTCCAAGCCTCCATCGCCGAGATAACATGAGTACCAATATCCGAGGAATGGAAGATTTGACAAATCTCCCTAACTGCCTCCCAGGACTAGTTTCTTCAAACTGCGAGGATTTTTTTCACAGTGTACCCCGGAATCGAATACAGCATAAGGGCTATGAACAACACCAACACCATAACGCAGAGAAATTTGAGAAGGACGAATCGAAACCTCCCCCATAAGACGTTACGAACTGCCCTGATTGGACTGAAGAACCTCCAGAAGTAGCTGTCGGCACGCCTGCGTTAGAGGGGTCAAAGGTTAGGAAGCAGAGATTAAAGCTGTGCGATTGATTAATTTGCATTAAAAAATTAGCTGCGTATTCATGTTCAGTAGTTTGCAATAAATCTGTTAGTACCAAGCAAATATTATTACGCATGCACATGTAGCATTTCCCTCACCTTGAAATTGCAATGTTACTGGGCGAGTCCCAGCACGGTTGTTTTTTTAAGACAGGTGGAATAGAAAAATTCTAGTTTTCATAATCAACATGTTGACAATATTAATAGATCTGATTCGGAGAACGACGGCATTAATTCCTGGGGAATAATATCCACTACCAAAAAATGGTCTCTATGAGCACCTCTTACGTTCTCATGGGATACTGGAATTTTATCTTGGTGGAAGGCGGAATAGGAGAAGCGCGCTGCACAAGGGAGTGTACAGTCCACGGCCAATTGATCTTGACAACCCCATACGAAAAGTGGCTCCTTGGCATTTGTACTCGACAAAATCTGAATGCGCACCTTTTTCACAAGAAATCAACTGATTTCAAAAGTGGGCAGAATTCAAAATAATTTGCACCGGGGGCACTTTCGGCGACGTACTGTGTGAAACAGGTTAGTTGTTAGGCAAGTAAACATTACGACCACTCCACAGAAGCATGACAAATTGTGGGTAAGAATGTAAACATTTAAAATCTTTTGGGCACACTACTCAAGCGATAACTTCAATGCAAACCGTGCAGGCACGACACAAGGAAATCTCAAGGAAGGTTGGACACTAACGTGGGTCGTCTTGCCTACACGCCAAAGATGGCTTTGACGGTGTAGCCGGGCATTGCATAGAGAAGCAGCGCCACGAAAAAGACCAGGAGCCCTACGATGAACCCCTTGACCAGACACCATTTGTAGTTCCGCAAGAGGGCTATGTACATCCCCTTGAGAGGGTTCATGAACCACGAGATGGACCCCTCCGGTCGCCTGGGTAAGGCAGCATGCAAATGAGCAAAAGGCAAGAGAGGTTAGAAGGCAGGTTGTTTTACAACCTGCCTAGCGGTCAAGGCTAATCGTGTCCATCACACAGCATTTATCAGGTCTCAGCCAGAAGACAGTTGATATCAGCTATATTACGCATCTTTCATTTCTTATCTGTGACCAGACCTGACTTTCGATTTGACTTCTGACAGGTCCACGGTTAGGTTGATGCAACTCGTGACTGACCTGTGATTTCACTCGTGATCGACCTGCGACTTTCATAAATTAGCTTGGGACTGACCTCCAATTTGACTATCGCACTAGACTTCTGATTGACTTGCAAAATAATGACCGGCGATTTGAAACAGAAACTGACCTGTGACCTGACTTTGATGTGATGTCACTTACAATATCATATGTCATTTGATTGGTTTAAATTCTTTGAGTTGACAGCATTGAGCTGTGAATGACGTGTGATTTGACCGGCGGTTGAATGAATTCTCCCACATTTTGCCTATAAAGGGTTTTGCTGGATGAAAGTGTACCCTTTAAGCTTCCAGCTTGGAGAAGGGATTTTTTTAGAGCAATTAAATTTCTGTTGTGGCCCTGCACTAACACCAGCTACTGAAGAAATGGCTTCGTTGTATTGATTCGCATTAGTTTTCTTTTCCTTATATTGGCCAATTACAACGTGGTACCAGATGTCACTCCATCAGTTTCATCGTCAACAAAAAATTGCAATCTTGGTGAGATCCGCTACAGTTAAGTTGGGGCAACACTGTGTTAATTTACCAAAATACCACTAAATTTATTTAACGATGTAGAATTAGTTTCTCCTGCAACAAATTCTCAAAGAAAAGTGTTAGACGCCCAAGGTACCTTGAAAGAAAACTGCGATTAGAGCTGCAAAGGAAAATGGTTAAACCAGTAAAATGCGAGTGGTCACAACACCCATCACTATTCCTGTGGTTACCTCTGTTTTGACCAATCACAGGTACAATTCCGCAACCACATATTTCACGAAAAATCTACACTGCAAAAACTGGGGTGTTAAGTTTAACACCCCAGTGTTATCAGAGGACTACAACCAACACTTTCACTGGTGTTCAAAATTTGTGTTATTTGGTGTTACTCTTAACACCTTCCAGTGCATTGTAACACTTATGGGTGAACAAAGTAACACCAGCGGTGTTAAAATAACACCCTGTGGTGTGGTCATCTGATGACACCAAAAAGTGTTGATTTTATTACTCTTGCGGCTGGCGTACGCAATGTACGCATTTTTTTTATTGTCCAGTGGGTGGGGCTTGATGAATCGGTCCGTTCCACATCAAACTTCAAAACAAAGTGTTCCTAACTTCATTTCAATTAAGTCTGCTGTGAGCTTTTTCTCATGATCCACTTTGTTGCCAGTCAAGCCCTTCGGTGAAAAATGAGCTCCACGGCGTCTGGCGTCAAGATTCTCCTCTTTTACCTAACGTCTTACGATAGTTGGGTTAAATTACTATCGTCGTACGAATCTAAATTGGATATATCATCTCACAAGATGAAGAAGAGACATGAAGATGGTCTCCCCTCCCGTTGGAGCAGTAAGACATTTACCTTTGTTGTACCATCCAGGATAAGAGAAGCCACTAACACGAACATTTCACCTAATGTTCTAAACTAGGCAAAAACAAAAACTCTCAGCAAAATGCTGATGAAACAAAACATCAGTTGTCAACAGTAAGTGTTGTTTCCCGCTGATAACTGCATTAAACACATTGAAACGTACCACTTTTCATTTGAAAAGCTCGTATCAGTGGAAAACTGAATGTAAATGAGACTCATCATAGTTATCTGGCTGTGTTTCTTTTTGGAATACATGTGGAACTTTCAAAATTACCTCAGATGTAACTTAATATGCCAGTAATGGAACATCTGAATCAAACAGCATCAAATCTTGACAGCCAAGAAATGGACATTTTAGATGAAACATTATCCATGATTCTTTAAGTTCCATCAACATAAGGGCTATCGACATACTGTTATCCACAATACAATTACAAAATCCGCTCAACTGTTATTTTTACAATAGGCCTGCTCCCGCAAAACCTTCATTATTCCCCACAATTTACACGAAATGCATATTGTACACAGCCCACCAAAATATTCAACTTTTTTTTTAGTTTGCAAAGGCAATTTAAATATTTAGGACCACAAAACCCTTATTCCTCGGACTTATGTATATCAGCTTAATAATATAAATTATGTTACTGTTAGAATAATAATTGTTAGATGGACTTTATTCCTAGAAAGGCGACACAGCCATACTTTACTTGAAAAAATAAGCTAATCCTGCAAAACACTCGGAATTGTTAGAAAACATTTTGAATACGTGGCATTCCTGGGCACTGGTCTCCGCATGTAATAATGTGCATTTTGTGGACCGTGGTACACAAAAAATCCATTACTTTACAGCAATAATAATAATATCCAAAACCAAAGATATTAAATGGGCGAGTGACATACTGTGTCAAGTTGAGACACAGAGGCAATACATATTGAGACACAACTATGTTTTCATTTAATATACGACCTGCCCTTTCTACGACTGAGTTACGTCACGCGTACACAATCAAAGCTCATGCACCTCGGTGTTGAAAACTCTGTACAGATATCAACTCATCACCAGTCATCAATTCTCGCTACCTCGGTCAGGCTGGCCCTGCAAAGAGACTTCATATTTCAAAAAACAAATCTCAGCCATTGGCGTCTAGGCTCCCAAGATCTTCTTGACGACGTAACCCGGCGAGGCGTAGATGAAGAGCGCGATAAACGCCATGATGAGGCTCGCTATGAGGAGTTTGATCAGGAGCCACTTGAGGCGGTGGCAGATCATGTACTTGAGGGCGTTCAGAGGGTTAAAGAACCAGATGAAGGAAGTGTCGGGGCGGCTAGATGGAAAAAAAGAAACAAGGAGAAGACATGATGACGACACTGAAATGACATGGAGGTAACAAGAAAAAAAAACACAGGGCACTCAATGAACCACCGACACTGATTGACTTCAACAGGACGTAATAAATGTGACTGAACGCTGAAGTACACAAAAGTAACATAAAATAAGATAACTGACTGACTGACTGACTGGCTGACTGACTGATGGTTAACAGGTACGGTATGAAGTGACAGTCAGTGAAAGTGTACTGCAAACATTTGATACAGTTAATGGAGTTCAGCAGAATCGCTAAAGCAGAAACAGCTCCATGTTTACAAGTCAACAGATCCATGTTTACAAGTCAACAGATCCATGTTTACAAGTCAACAGATCCATGTTTATAAGTCAACAGATCCATGTTTACAAGTCAACATTTTAGTGCAATTAACATTCAGTGCTTAGGCCTACATGTTGTTAAGCACAATTAGTACACTGAAACAAAGTCTGATGATCTGGCGAACTAAGAATTCGACCACTGAAAAAAGTTTTCCGTAACTGCTATCACAGTTATAATTGTTCACTTTGGTGCACATTAGTATCCAAATATTGACTGTTTCGAGTGGTATAGTAAACTAGCCTCCCTCGGTGATCCATGGAGCATTCCATTTTCCTGGGGCAAAGCTGAGAGAAAACAGAATCACCTCGGGTGGCTAGGTTTAGGCTACTGAACCGCGAGATAAAGCAGTCAATATTTGTTTTATAACACCTCCCCACAGATCCTGCAAAATTTAAGCTAAAAATCAATAATGAAACACCAAACTGGAATTTACATTCATCAAACTTAATTCAAGAAATCCAAGCGGAACAGCAACGTTTGAATACATTCATTAACCAGTGTTGTACGCTATAAGCCGAAATACATGCCTGGGTAACATCCGTGCTTTCGTTACTTTGGTTGCTACGGGTATAGTTCTTTTCAGAACGAGGCTGCATGGTATAGTCTTTTTCGGGAGCGGTGGTATAAAATAGTAAAACTAGCAAGTATCACATGACACACTTTCGGCCAATCAAGATACAGAGTCTGTGGGTGAGGTGTTATAATGCATTTTAGTTTATGCTCTTGGAAGTACTATGGCAAACTAATTTTATGAAGCTCAATACTGACATTAACTAAACAAACATGATGATATTCAATGTATATATAAATCTAAATCGCGTTATTGGAAGGCAAAATAGACCCGATCAAAGGTACTAATTTCTTAAAGGCAAATGACTTTGGTTTTGCCCTGGTTGTCTGCCAACTTAAATGAAGAATGATCATCTCATTGGAATAACAATATCCCAAATCTTTGGCAATGCAAGTATACTCTAACAACCACTATAAGTGGGATTCTATATAAACTCTACCCTCTAAATTCCACCACGATATATCATGGTTGGGCAGTTATTAATAGACATTTATTTACAAACCAAAACTATACCTCACACAGCATATAAATACACTCAGTTTACATTATTCAGAAACTCCAAAAAGCAAAATGCCTTAAAAGTTTTCCAAACAGCTTTCTGCTGTGCGCAATGTAATGGCAAATAAGTTATATTTAAAAAAAAATGAAAACAGGTGCAAATTTCAAATTTGGATTTCCTCTTTGGTTGAACACTTTCTGGTTTAATAATACATGTGTACCTCGATGAGACCACACCATATCGCCAGTTAAGTTACGTTTATTTTATCAGTCTCTAGAATTAGGGGAAAATGCAAAAGGCGCTGCCATACAAAGCAATCTTACAGGCAACTTGGAGGCAAGTGAGGTTGCAGCAAACGAGAGGAATCCTTGAATAAAACAAAGTAATCCTTTCTGCCACAAAAATACGAGTTTTCTTCCTATTTCATTCTCGGAGAATGCCTTGGGGAAGTTGCCTGGTCAAGCATGGCCTTATGTGACACAGACTTTATAAAATTATCAGGTTGGTAACTGCAGCCATGTTTTGTTCCCTTGGAACTTCATCTGCCTCATCACACACTCTGCCTGGGTTCACATGTACACAGCAGCACTAAAATTATGTGATCACCAGTAGCACAACATGGTTTAAATCTTCGGGGGGGGCACCCGGGGTGCACACATTTTTTAAGGGGGCACTTGGACAGAGATTACTCACAGATTTCAACTGGGGGAACTGGGGGCATCCAGGGGAGGGGGCATATTTGTCCCCACCCCTTACACCACTGGTGATCACCAACTCAAACTAGGTATGCAAGACCCAATCAATGTTAAGGATTGCAATAAAGTGCTATCCATAATAGATATTGCAAGGGAACCAAAGAACAGATCAGGTCCGTCTGGTGATCACTCATATTGGTTAGTATCTTATCAACACCACCCTGAGTTACATGAATAAGTCAGTCATGCTAGTTCACCATTCTGTTAAACCTAAGCCCCAATTATCTTCTTGACAGTGTATCCTGGAGCAGCGTAGATGAAAAGTACGATGAGTGCCACCAACAAGGAGACAATCAGCAGTTTGATGAGGAGCCACTTCAGACGGGCACAGATCACGTAGCGGATGGACTTCCAAGGGCTCAGGAACCAGATGAAGGAAGTGTCTGGTCGACTGTTAGCAGGAGGATGGTGGGTGAGAGATGCAGTTCATCAAAGAGGCAAAAACAGAGGGAGACAAAAGGAAGAATAGAGACAGAGAGGTGCAACAAGATTTAGACAGGTGCAACCACAAGCAAATAGTGAAGCACAATGACGGACAGACAGACACAGCAACAGGCGATAGGGCACAAGAACAGACCAACAGTGAAGCACAACCACAGACAAACAATGAGGCACAAACCAAAGACAAACAATGACACACGACCACAGACAAACAGGCAGGACAGATAAAAAGTGAGGCACAACCACAGGAAAACAGTGAGGCAGGACCAAAGACAAACAATAACACAAGACATACAATGACACACGACCACAGACAAACAGGCAGGACAGATACAAAGTGAGGCACAACCACAGGAAAACAGTGTGGCACAACCACAGACATGACCAGGGACACAACCACAGACAAAAACATGTACAAGCAGAGACAGAATGAGGCACAGTCAACGACAAACAGAGATACAACAGTAAGTAAAGGGACAAAGAAATCCAATGACAGATATGGGGAAGACAAACAGTCCATACAATGTCAGACCAGCAGAAAACAAAAGAAAGCAATCAAAACAGAACATGGGCATGGGTAACAAGGACCAGGGCAGATTAGGAAAGAACACGTCAGAAGGGACAGAAACATCACAGAGAAAGAAAAGAAGCAACATATTAACAATGAAAACATACAAACGTGAGTAACACCAGACAAACACATGATGGAAGAGCCATGACATAAGCCAGGTGCGGAAAAGTACACAGTACAGAACGAGGAAATCAGAACAGGAAATATATTTGCAGAGGGAAAAAATCAATTGGATTGAAAAGGGGAATCAGTTGGTGATTTTAAAACAAGCAGGTAAGATAAGTGGTGCAAGTAATTGGCAAGGTGAGGGGAAAACCGAAAAGAAAAACAAAATCAGTTCACACCACATCAATTAAAAACAAATCACCACACCACAAGCTGTAGGACTACACTTCAGCTTGCAATTTCACATTTAGACCATTAGATATTATTTTTATCAAGGAAATTAATGGTGAGTTGAACTTGGCTGGCCTTCAGATCAAGTGAGGAGTGCAGAGTGAAACATCCAAACCAAACTTTTCGAAGTTTAGGGGAAATTTGTTTTTTCCAGAAAATTGGCACCTGCCTGAGAACTAGCACACCCAAAATTGTTGGGATTAGTATCTCTTTGAAATTCAGGGATGAGGAAGCAAGGATATTGTACACTTTTTGTCCGCATTCCCTGTTTAACACACACACAATTCGGTGACTGGAAAAAAAAATGGGGTAACTTGTCCCATGAACAGGGAATGGAAGATGACTAGGAAAAATGATTACATTGGTATGGATGGCATGAACAAAGGGGTAAACCATAATACAGTCTTCCAAATGATGGGTTAGTGCAGGTGAATTTCAAATCTAAAGGTTCGTGGTGGAAGTTATAACCCAAACAATGAACTAAGACTCACACAACACAAACTGGATCAAACTAAATTTACTGCAGTAGCATGAAACAAAGTGCTCGTGGCAGTGTTGAGCACAAGCTCTGGATGTCCTTAACTAACATCACAAATGCAATTCAAGATGAAGCCTTTACGACATATGGTGGACACAGCAGGAGGGCGCTATTTGAAGTGGGTAAATTTGGAGTAAACATAAAAGATTTTACCAAAACCAAATAGCGCCCTCCTATTATATCTTCCATACCTCAAGTAGGCTACCTACTCCTTGAGCCGGATTTCAGTTTATGGAAATGATTATTAACGTCAGACACGTCTAAGGGAATTTGAACATTCTAATACAAGTGCATTCAAAAAGTAAAAGGTTAACATGCATCTATCTCTTGTAAGACAATTCATCCATATAACACAAACTAAAAGATAACATTCTTGACAAATGAGTAAAATTGCACTGAAATTTAATAACATGACTGAAATATGCAGTGTAAAAAACAAGTCCATAGCCATCATCTGTGAAAAGCAAACAGAATCAAACAATGCAAGACAACAATGTGAGAAATAAAAGTTCAAAGAACAAACAAAATGTTAAAACTCATCAATGCAGGATGTTCACATTCACACAAAAAAACAGGTGTGTTTTGACAAATGAAAAGAATAAAAACACTAGGAAAAGAAAAAAGTTATGGACTGTCGCAAACAACATAAAATGCACAAAACGATTCAGTTGCAAACAAAGTGCTGTCCAGAGAAGAAACGAGGGTGAGGTACATTCATGAAATGAGAAAAGTACAAATGTATGCCTCCGACATGCCTCGATTCATGCGACCTGCACTGCTGCAGCCTTGCACTTCATAGCACTCAGTCTGTAATGAAAGCACCTGTATCGTATATTTACTGCTTGCTA